CATCAGCTTCTTAGGCCAGGCACAGTGGTACATTTTTGTAATCCTAGAAGGGAGAAAATGGAGAAAAGAGTATGAATTTGGGGCCAGCTTGGGTTTTATAGAAAGACCCTTTTAAATAAGGAAGAAAAAAAGGAAAGAAAGAAAGTCAGGTGGGAAGGCAAGGAAGAAAGGAGAGAGAAAAAGAGAGAGAGAGAGTGATAGAGAAGAAGGAAGGTGGAAGGAAGGAAGGAAGGAAGGAAGGAAGGAAGGAAGGAAGGAAGGAAGGAAGGAAGGAAGGAAGGAAGGAAGGAAGAGGGATGGACTTTTCTCATTAGGTTAATGATGAGTAGCACTCATGCACTCAAGACAGTGGGAATGGTAGCATCATATTAAAGACACTGTAGAATAATGAAACTTAAAAATCTTGGCTTTGAGCCAGGCACTGGTGGCTCACACCTGTAATCCTAGCTACTCAGGAGCTAAGATCTGAGGATTGGGGTTCAAAGCCAGCCTGGGCAGGAAAGTCTGTGAGACTCTTATCTCCAATAAACCACCAGAAACCCGGAAGTGGTGCTGTGACTGAAGTGGTAGAGCACTGGCCTTGAGCTGAAGAGCTGAGGGACGAAATTCAAGCCCCATGACTGCAAAAAAAAAAAAAAAGGCATTAAGTGATAGTGGATAGGAACTAAGCTAAATGTTACTTTTAGATACTCACTGAGGACAGTTAGAAATATTTTATTTCCTAAGTTTACACTTTTTCCTTCTGTTCACAGTGAAGTCCCTTCTAATGTGCTAACAAATATTACCTTAAATTCAGAGAAAGAATTTCTTTATATGATATGCTAGAGTAGTCACATTATAATTTTTAACTTCATTCTGAAATTTCAAATTATGTGATGATAATGAAGCAATCTCTGTGCCTGGTTTGCTCAACACATTTTATTTGTAACAAGGACTCTGTACCATTACTGAGGCATATGCTGTAGGTAACAAGGGGTAACAACTTTAAAAATCATAATTTTAGGTAAAATTACAATGCTTTTCTAATAGAAGATGTCCCACTGGAATGAAACCTATATTCTTGTTGAGATGTTAACTGATTTGCATGGGGGACATGCTTTGATGGGAATGCTAAATCCACACCTGCATTTGGTTTTTAGAATGTGACAAAGCAGCTATTCATATCTGTTTTTTATAAAGTCACGCTCCGAATGAAAATATCTTAAGATGTGTCTCAAAACAGTATTTTTTTTAAACCAAAGCACCAGATGAAGATCAATTTTCTGTAGGCATTATGGAAGAGACCTCTTTGGGACCTATTCAACACTGGGCTGATGCTTTTAACATTTGACAGGGGATCAAATCAGTTTCTTTCTTATGACATGTGGATAAACACATTTTAGACAATAGCTACAACTCATCCCTAAGCAATGTACACAAGAATGAAGTTGATATTGATAATAATTTATACAGATAGCAAATGATCCCACAATAAATCTTAATGCTTTATAGTAAGCTTTCTACTGAACTTAAACAAATAATTGACTTTTATCTTTACAATTGTAGATTAGCAAATAAAGGTTATAATGGCTTATAGAGTGCAGAACAATAATAGATATTAAACAATATTTTTAATGCCTCTGAAAAAATTGGAGACTTAAGATCTGAAACTTAGATAAGATCTCTGCCATTAATCAATAACAGTAAATTTTGTCTCTAAATAATTTAAGCCAAGCACTTGAAAAGAATGAGTCAATGTGAAAAGCAATTTGAATTTGAAATTCTCAGATGACAGTGCAACATGTGAATGCAGTATTATTTGTGGGTTTCTCAAAACCTGTATCTTTCAGAATGGCACTTATTAAATAATAATAGTTAGAAATAGTTACATGTACAGCCTTTATTTCTTAAAGTTGAATAGGTAGTATGAAGGGAAACATAGAACATTCATTAAGTGGGGAATATTTCTGCAATTAATATAACAGCATCTGATCCCACAGTAGTCATGTGTTCTTATCAAAGAGTAGTGGTCCATATTTCACTTTCAAGAAAACCTATCAATTTAATAGTTTATCAGATAGGCAGGTCCTTTATACTCTCAGGGTCGGCTCAAATTGTTTTCCTGTAGTTCCGAAGAAACTGTATATGTAAGTACCAACTCAGTATGGTTCAGAGATCCTTGGCTTCCTCGTTAGAGAACAAATTTGAGAAAATATCTTAGCCAGAAAATCAGATCAATACTCATAGGAAAAATTTAAGTAGCAATGGGAATCATTAAATGATTCTTGTATAATTGAATGAGAAAATATGATCAATATAAGAACAAATTTATTTTCTTAATTCAAAAGCAGACAGGGAATTACACACAGGTGATTTTTGTATGTTTTTTTTATCGTAAAAATGCTGTACAGAGGGGTGACAATTACACGAACAAGGTAATGAGTACATTTCCTATTGAACATTGTTGCCTCCTCCTTTGTTTTCCCCAACCATCCCTTCCAGCCTACCTCCACAACTACCCCTCTCCCCCTGCCAAAGTTGTAAATTTTGTTTTCAATATAGTGTTTTGTACATCTCATTGTTACAATGGGTCAATTGTATCCTTATTTAAGCATTTTGTTTATTCCCTTCCCCTCCTCAAATAAGAAAAGTGTATATACAAGACGCAGGGCACCAACACAGTGAAAACAGTGGTTATACCATGGAGGAGAAACATACAAAGAAACAAAAAAAATTACATGGTACATTATAAATATGTTAGAAACAATAGTAAGAAAGAAAAAAGATATTTGTGTCCGTAACTTGGGGCTCATTTCGCTTAACATCATCTTATATGGTCATATGTACATAGCTTTTGGCCTTTTCTGCTTGTCCTACACATGTACTAGTTATTGCAAATAAGGTAAACCATGGGACCTATGTTTCTTTGGGCCTGGCTTACTTCACTTAATATAATATTTTCCAAGTTTTTCCATTTCCTAACAAAGGGGATAATGTCATTCTTTCTGATGGAGGTATAAGAATATTATATATATATATATATATATATGCATATATATATATATATGCATATATATATATATATGCATATATATATATATATCTCACATTTTCTTGATCCATTCATTTCCTGAAGGGCATCTGGGATGGTTCCATATATCTTAGCTATGGTAAATAATGCTGCGATAAACATAGTTGTGCTGGTAACCTTAGTATGGGCTTGTTTGTGTGTTTGTGATTGTATAGGTAAATGCATATGGGATTGCTGGGTCATAAGGGAGCTCTATGTGGAGTCTTTTGAGGTACCTCTGCTTTCCAAAGTGTTTGAACAAGTTTACACTTCCAACAACAATGCAGTAGGGTTCCCTTCTGGCCACATCCCCTCCAGCATCTGTTGTTATTAAAGTCCTTGATTATCGCCATTCTAACTGTGGTGAGGTGGAATCTCAATGTTGTTTTGATTTGCATTTCTTTTATGGCTAGAGAAGTTGAGCATTTCTTCATGTGCCTATTAGCCATTCTTATTTTCTCTTCAGAGAAGTTTCTCTTTAAGTCTTTAGCCCACTTATTTATTGGGCAGTTGTTTCTTTGAGGATTTGTTGTTGGAGGATTTAATTTTTTGAGTTCCAAGTATATTTTAGATATGAGACCCTTGTCTGCTGTATGGCTAGTAAAGATCTCCCAATCTGTGGGCTTTCTTTTGATCTTGCTAGCTATGTCCTTTGCCATGCAGAAGCTCTTCAGCTTCTTGCAATCCCATTTGTCCAACCTTTCTTTGATTTGTTGTGTTTCTGGGTCTCTATTAAGAAAATTTCGGCCTGACACACAAGTGATTTTAAAAACTGCTTCTATCTGTAAAGATATGCATGCATAGGTAGAATTATATTGGCCTATGCCAAGAAGATAAGCTAAATATTAAGCCTTTGATTAATTGAATATTTTTATGAAAATTTTGTGAAATTTGGTATTATTGGAAATAACTATAATGGAAATACTAATTTTAAAGGCACAAAACTTAAAAATGTTTTTTCTCAGGGCTGGGAAGGTGGATCAGTGGTAGAGCGCTTGCCTTGCATGCATGAGACCCTGGGTTCGATTCCTCAGCACCACATAAGCAAAAAAAAAAAAAGCCGGAAGTGGTTCTGTGGCTCAAGTGGTAGAGCGCTAGCCTTGAGCTGAAGAGCTGAGGGACAGTGCCCAGGCCCAGAGTTCAGGCCCCACAACTGGACCCCAAAAAAATGTTTTTTTTTTTCTCAAGCCTATAAATTTCTCTACCAATATGAGTATTTTCCTGGATTTGGCCCTAGCCTGCCTGCCTGCCTGCCTGCCTTCCTGCCTGCCTGCCTGCCTGCCTGCCTTCCTTCCTTCCTGCCTGCCTTCCCTCCCTCCCTCCCTCCCTCCCTCCCTCCCTCCCTCCCTCCCTTTCCTTTTCTTTCCCTTCCCTTCCCTTCCCTTCCTTTCCTTTCCTTTCCTTTCCCTTCTCTTCCCTTCCCTTCCTTTGTCTACCTACTTTTCTTCATTTTCTTCCTATTGCCTTTCTCCCTTCACATTTATTTCTATCTTTTTTCTTTCTTCCTTCTCTTCATTAGATTTATTGTTATTATTAAGTAGCTTCAAAAAGTTGTTACAATTTCATATGTCAGCTTATATGTACAACACTTCTTGACAATGTCCCCTCTTCCTTTGTTCTCTCCATTTCCCCCTCCCATTCCTACCCACAAATTATATAGTTCATTTTTGTACTTAATATACATTGAATACAATGACTGCATTTTCTTAGCCTTCCTCACTCCACTCCTGTGTTCCCCTTTGCCCTTCAAACATGTTTCCATTTCTACTTCATTAGATCTTAAAGTCTTTTCATAATCTTTAAAAATGTTCATTCACTGATTTAGAAAGCAATAACACTTCTTTATAGGAAAGAAACCAATTAAATATTGTTTAAGTTTTCTGCTTGGAAAATAATCTGGAATAGATCTAATATAGTAGAGCTAATCAGTTCATTGCTATTCTATTTGCAGATTCAAGAATGGCTTTGTTTAAATTGCCAGACTCTGAGAGCAGTTTCTGGGCAGCTTGGAGACATGGGCAAAATGCCATCTGCCCCAGTGGGACCCAAGGCTTCCCCTGTGCCTGTCCCTGTAGAACCATTTGAGAAAGCAGCGATACCTGCCCAGGTTAATATCAAAAAGAAGGAACTGGAAGTAAAAACTGAAGCTGAAAAATTAATTCCAGAAAAAGAAACACCTTTAGTTGAAAAACCTTCCTCAAAAGTAACCACAGGTCAAAAAGAAGAGGAGAGAAAACTGGAGAGAAAACTAGAGAAAGACAAAGTTTCAACCCTTCAAGAAAAGAAGCCACCCTCAGAAGAAGAAAAAACAATCTTAGAAGAAAAACAGTTAATTCTGGAAGAGCAGAAAGCAGCTCCTGAAGAAAAGAAGCTACCTCTTGAGGAAAAGAAACCAATCCCTAGAGACAGAACGGCACCCTCAGGAGTAAAAACAGTGCCCCTAGAAGAAGAAGTAAAGTATGATGTACTTACAACTGAAGCACAGATTTCTGAAGAAAAGCCTCAAAGTATAGAGGTCCCAGTTGCAAAACAAGAGAAACAACCACACACCAAAGCAGACAAGTTACCAGCTGGTACACCTCCCAGTTTGCCTAAAGAAGAAGACAAGACAACCATAAAGGTGAAAGAACAGCCGCAGGCAGTGGGCATTGCAAAATCTGATCAAGTGGAACCTGGGAAAGAAAAAACAGTAAGTTAAATGTTTTTACTATACAAACATGTCTCATGGATATAATGTACTTAATTTTACCTTTGTGCATGAATTGCTCAAGAGCAATTAGGGAAGTGAAGACCTCCAGCAGGGTACAGTGGCTTACACCTGTAATCCTAGCCACTCAATTGATAGTCACTCTGGGCAGAATGTCAGAAAATCCAATTCCAAATAGTAAACGTTAACACAATTTATCCCATCTATTTGGGATGTATGAATTTAAGAATCGCAGTCCTGGCTGGCACAAGTTATAAACACAATAACTGTAGCAAGAAGAGCTGAGGTATCAGTTAAAGTGCCACGCTAGCCAGCAGAAGACCCTCAGTTCAGACTTCAGTACCACTGGGAGAGAAGAACGGAAGGAGAGAGAGAGGGATGAAGGAAGGAAGGAAAGAAGAGAGAGAAAGGGAGGGAAGGTAGAAGAAAGGAAGGTAGGAAGGAGGGAAGGAAGGAAGGAAGGAAGGAGGAAGAGAAGGAAGGAAAGGAGGGAGGGCGTGAGGGAAGGAAGGAAGGAAAGAAGAAAGGAAGGAAGGAAGGAAGGAAGGAAGGAAGGAAGGAAGGAAGGAAGGAAGGAAGGAAAGAAGAAAAGGTTATAATTTCAGAGACATAAAACATAAATTTGACCTTTTGGTAATGAGCAAATTTACATAAAGGATAGTTACAAGATTAATTTTGTCTCATTCTTTTTTTTTTTTTGGGTCCAGTCATGGGGCCTGAACTCTGGGCCTGGGTGCTGTCCCTCAGCTCTTCAGCTCAAGGCTAGCACTCTACCATCTGAGCCACAGCACCACTTCCGGCTTTTTCTTTTTGGTTATGTGGTGCTGAGGAATCGAACCCAGGGCCTTGAGCATGCAAGGCAAGCGCTCTACCACTGAGCCACCTTCCCAGCCCCAATTTTGTCTCATTCTTATTAGATATTTTATCATAATCTCAGAGTGATTTCAGAAGTTTTCTGAATGTTATTTTGTCCACAATAAACCAGTCAGTTTTTCCCTTTAAGATAAAATAATATGTCACTATATAAGTTTCTATTTGTGTAGCAAACTGATTTTGCAAGAGGAAAGTGAGTTTTCATTACTTGGAAGCCATTAAGGTATGATAAACCATGAAATGTTGCTAAAATTAAGAAGATATAGTTAAATTCAAGAATAATTCTCATTTTATAATTCATGATTTATGTTAGTATTTAGCATCACCTTAAAATTATATCTGTTAGGAGTTTTGTTAGATGTTTTTAAAATTGAAATATTTAAAATACAAATATAATCCAAATATATTCTTGAATAATATCACTTTTATAGTGGAATTTAAAGTAATATTTGCAATGGCAATCACATCCTTTTAATAGAGGCTCATTTTTAGTTGTGAAAGTTCTTGCATCATATATAATTGAATCATTTTAATTCACATATAACGAATTATTCATACAGAAATTAAGTATTTTATTAGTAATAATTTTTTGCCAGTTCTGGGGCTTGAACTCAGGGCCTGGGTTCTGTCCTTGAGCTTCTTTTGCCCAAGGCTAGTACTCTACCACTTGAACCACTTGAGCCACAGCGCCATTTCAAGCTTTGTCTATTTATGTGGTATTGAGGAATCAAACCCAGGGCTTCATGCATGCTAGGGAAGCACTCTTATCACTAAGCCACATTCCCAGCCCCAAGTAATAAGATTTTAATGATACATTTTTAAAATCCACTGTAATTCTGATGGGTTACGTTTTGTATGTTTGTAGTTTTTGTTATTTCTGTTTTTTGGTTCTTGTTTGGGGGCTAGAATTGAGGGACTGGGCACCTTCCCTGGCCTTTTTAGCTCAAGTCTCTTTGTTCAAGTCTAGCTCTCTGCCACTTGAGCCATGACTCTGCTTCTGGCTCTTTTTTTTTTTTTGGTGGTTGTCTCTAAGAATCTCACAGACTTTCCTACCCAAGCTGACTTTGAACCGTGATCCTCATATCTCAGCCTCCTGAGTAGCTAGAATTAAAGGCATAAGCCACTGGCACTTGACTGTTAATAGCTTTAAGACATGGTATTTTGAACACATCTGTGGTAGATGATACATTATTTGTTAACTACTAAATGTAAGTGTCCTTACTTTATATTAATGAATATTACCAATAATAACAACAACAGCAAAACCAGATTTCATTGTTTCCACAATCTGATGACTGGCTGTAGCTATCACCCTGTGCCTCTCCTGGTCGCTTTATAGAACTCCTGTTTTATACTGCTTCTCCCTGTGGAAAACTGTCCATAGCATCACAGCCAGTAGGCCATGATTTTGAAGCATGTTGTCTATTTAAGGTAAGGATTGCTATTCACAATAATGTAGGTAGGTACAGACTTCAAATAGTTTTCTTGACAATGTCCAACATTTCTGTCTAGCTCTCATGTTATATCTGATTTAATTTACCATTGTTATACCTTGCTATATTGCTGCTAAAAAGCCTGTAGCCTAAAAGCCTGTAGCCATAGAAATATGTTCCTAAGGAATATGTTCTTACCTTAATATTGTTATCTTTTGCAGCAATATTTTGTCTCCTACTTGTCCACTAGGAGAAAATTGGTTTAGTTGAAATTAGGAAATATAAACCACAATTATTCTTTAGGAAAAGAGTAAGGTTTAACTTAAAGCTGAATAAATGAAATAATTGCTTCATTGTTCACTCTTTAACATAGAACTTTCAGTTTTCTTCCAGTGACCAACTTATAAGTAGGAAGAGAGCACCACAGTTGATAGATAAGTAACACATTCTGTTATTTCACACATACAGTGATAATCCTAATTTTTTTCTTGGAATCCATTGGATCATTTTTGCAGAGCTGACAGAAAAGCTGTACATACAATGGAGATCCCTGAATAACAGATTAGCTTTGCTTTCTTACCCCTCTGAAATCTAACTTTATTGTTTTGTTTATTATCTATCTATCTATCTATCTATCTCTATCTGTCTGTTTTCAGTACTAGGGCTTGAAGTCAATATCTGATTAGTAAGTGCTATACTATCTGAACATCACTTTTTCTTGTTGTTATTTTTGATGTAAGGTCTTGATTTTTGTCCAGGCTGCGCCTGGACCAAGATCCTCCAATGTATTTTCCTTGCTTGTAGTTAAGATGAAAAGTGTGTGCTAATAGGACAAACTTTTAATTGGCTGAGATGGAGTTCTCAACACACTTTTTGCCCAGTCTATATAATCATCCTAATCTCCACTTTCCACATAGCTACAATTATTGGTGTGACCTAGTGTTCACAAATGATTTTTTAAAGTCATGTTGGTATGAAATTCTGCCTTTTTTTTTTTTTACCTATTTACCTAAGCAGAATAGTGAAACACTGTATACAGAAACCAAAGTTTGAATAAACTTTAGTATATAATCTTTGTTAATGACTACAGAACCAGGATGAAAAATAATCAGATTTTCTGTAGTAAGACCATTATTTTATGTTGCATTAGATGAAAGTGTTTAATCTTTGCTCCAGGCCCAGGGAATTTATGGGCTCAGTCTTGTTGGAATATAAACCTATCAATCTATGTTAGCAGATATTTTGTATATATGGCAAATGTTCTTGCATCTGTTGTTTAATTCTAACCCATAAAAATTGAATGGCTTTAAGAAAATCAACCACATGCTTACTGTGGCTTTTTTGCATACTTTTATATTTAATCTAGAATTCAGTTCTGAGCCCCCAATGATATTCAAAAAGCTTTGCTTTCCTTCAATGTGGAAGGCTAAAAACTTCAGCACTTTGATGGAACTGATACAGTTTGATATTTTCTCAAGTATTAATGAAGCCTTTACAATATCCCAAAAGAATTTCAGTTAGGGTTTAAATCATCCCTGTCTTTTCACTATTGGTCTTTTGTTCTATATATGACAATAGAATGTTGGATGGAAAAGGAAAATTTAATTCTCTGTTTGTAAGTTAGAAATCTAAAAAGTGAATTTTAGCCTCTGGAATTTCTCAGTAATTGTTTTAAATACACAGCCCAGAAAAACTAAATTTCCCCTTATTAATCAATGTTTTTATAGATGGAAAAATGCAATATGTAGCACAAAGTGAACAGTATGTGAGAGTCAATGCTAAATGCTAAAAATACATAAAAATGTTTTTCTAGGTGAAATGAAAACTGATATTTTTCTGTTTTTAAATGGATGCTTAAGCAAAGTGCTATGGCTTGAGTGGTAGAGTGATTACCTAACAAGCACAAGGCCATGAGTTCTATCTTGTTCCATAAATAATAATAATAATCATAAGCATAATAAACAATATGCTTATTCCTTTAATAACTACCTTAAGATAAAAATTAATAATAGCAAAAAAGAGTATATTTTAAATGTAGGTTTTCTCATTCACTGCCTGTATCAAAGAGATCAAATAATATATATGGAATCTTATTCTTATATAAGAATGTCAAAGGCTGTTCTATATTATATTTCATGTAAAAAGTAAAAAAATTAAAATTTCTAATTAATGAAAAATAATAATTTTTCAAAATCAGTGATTTATATATATATATGTAATAAATGTTTACATATATATAATTTAGAAAGAACTATTTAAATCCATTCATGTTATTAAATAGTACATTACTAGACATAATATAAATACACCCTCTTCTATTTTGAAGCAATAGCCCTATGTAATAAGATGGGGGGCGGGGAGAAAATAAGCCAAATTAGGTCATCCTCATGTGAACTGTTTAGCCCTCCCTTAGACTTATGGTACTTAAAATACCTATTTCTAGATGAATAATTAGAGAAAACAATATTCAAATTACAACTTTTTCTATTTCATCTACTGCTTCTTTATTGATCTAATTTTCTCTTGTTAATAGATGCTATTAATCAATCAGTGGTAAGAAACTTGCATGTGTACAAAATATACGATTGCTCTAACCCATTCTCTCATAAGACAATCGGATAATGCAGAAAGATAAACGGATGGACAGTGGATAAATGCTTCCATATCTTGAGCTCTGTGTATAAAAGAAAACTCTTCAATTATTATTAATAACATTTTTAAGGATGAATATGTAGACACTTTAAATCAAAGAGATAAAAGATCTACTTCATGTGGCTCACAAGCTAGCAATGCAATCAAATAGAAAAATATTTACCCCATTTATGGGACTAGATAGCTGAAAGCTAGTTTAGCATGTATCAAAGTGAAATAAATATGTAACTTTTTCCTTCTGAATATTTCAACAAAACAAACATTTTGTATACTTTATACTTTCTTGTGTAGAATAAGAAGAGTCACTTGAGGGCAGGGATCATAATGACATTAGTACCAGCAGCAGATACTGATTAATCCTATGAAGTATGGGAAAACATTAGGACCAATAAGGGTGTGTGGATTGGAAGTTGTAATGAAGAGGGAAGGCTGGCATGGCCATGTAGAGAAAAGTCACATACAAAGGGGGCTTTAGGGAGGATAATTAGGATTTATGCATTAATATCTTGTGTAGTTCCTCTTGACTTCCTTTGTCACATTTTATATATCTGGGCCTAATCTTATTTTTGTAAAATGTCAGTAGAGTCTTCAGAGTCTGTTGTTTAAAACTATAATTTCTCAAAAAAATTCCTGGTAATTTTTTCATTATATTCAATGATTTTTTAAAGAAATAATAGTTATATTTCTTCCACAGATATATACATATGTATATACATATACATACACACATATATGTAAAACATGTATATTTTGAAATATATCTGAAATGAGCCAAGAAAGTTTGGTCTTGATAAATTTTAGAGCAGGCATGATTTCTATCAGACGTTTTATAGCTACTTTATTAAAACATCTTTAGTATTAAGAAAGATATAATCATAAGAAGATATATACCTGGACACAGGAGACTTCACACTTATAGTCCTAGCTATTTAGGAGGCTGAAAGCTAAGGATGCATTGTAAAAACATCCTGGGCAGACAATTCCATGAGACTCTCTCCAATTAACCAGCAAAAAGCTTGAAGGCAGCAGAAAGAAGGCAGCCAGGTCAAGAGCATGGTATATATCAAAGTGACCCACCTCCCTGGAAAGCCCATGTTCCTGCTCACAAAATTAGTTACTGTACTGGTTTAAAGGCCCTCCTTTTTCATAAAATGCAAAGAAGTTTTGAATTCCAATGACATAGCAAATATTTGTGAAACAGCTTTGAAGTGGGATGATGAAAATAAGTGTGATGAACAATTCCATGCAATAACAAACTGAGTATTTCTCCTTATGTGAACTGATAAATTCAACCAATTTTGTATAAAAGTTGCAAAATTGATCATTTTGAAACATGCATTCAGAATGATACAGAGAACGATATTAACAAATTAAAATATCTAGTGTTTTACAGATTCACAATATACTCTAAAAGTAGTGTTTTATTTGAATCCCATAACAAAAAAACAAAAAAAAAAGTTTGATATAGGAAGTACATGAGTTTGTGGCATGTTATCTACATTTTTATTAAGTAAAATTTCTTCCATTGTATACAGTTCCCAATCAATCAGATTGTCAATCCAGTGGTTCTTTCATTTCTTATCTTTTGCCAGACTTCTTCTTTATGTGACTTAATTCTTGTCCTGCACATCCTCAGATAAACCCATAGTTGACTATCTTTTGCCAGACTTCACAGACCAAAAGCATTTTCTGTGTTAATGACAGAATTATCAATAAAAGTTTTCTCAGCAATTTAAACTTCATCCTGGAGTAAATGGATTAAGCAGGATAATATATTTGAAGGAAAATGAGAGAGGAAGAAAAGAAATGTAATGTGTATAGTATTGACAGAAAAAAAAATCAAATACTATTGAGTATTAACCTGTAAATTAAGTTGAGGTTAAATGAACACTAACTTCAATCATTAAATATCAACTGTTTTCATTTTAACTTTTTTTTAAAATTCTGGCATGTGGTTGAATAGTTGCCATAATTATTTCTCAGTTCTTAGTGGTTGTTTGGGAGTAATGGAGAAGCTATATGCAAGTAGTTCAACCACATTAAGTTTGCCTATATCTTTTCCTTTCTGCTAGGAAAAGGAAGAGGATAAATCAGAAACTTCAAGTTCTCAGCAACCTAAAAGCCCACAAGGACTCAGTGACACAGGCTATTCTTCTGATGGAATATCAGGTTCTCTTGGTGAAATTCCAAGTCTTATTCCAAGTGATGAAAAGGATCTGCTAAGGGGACTCAAAAAGGACTCCTTTTCACAAGAAAGCAGCCCTTCCAGCCCTTCAGACTTAGCAAAGTTAGAAAGTACAGTGCTATCCATTTTGGAAGCTCAGGCAAGTACGCTTGTTGATGAAAAGTCAGAAAAGAAAATCCAGCCCCATATGGTTTCTTCCGAGCAATCTAAAGATCAACAGAAAACTCAAATTTTATCTGAAACCCTGGAAAGTACTATTTCAAAAGAGGAGCTCAAGGAGAACCAAGAAGAAAGGAAAGACTCTTCAAAAAAAGATAGCCTACAAAGTATTCCATCCAGTAAGGACCACAAAGAAATATCTGCATTTGTGGAGGATGTAATTGCAAGAAGGCAGCCCTATGACTCAGTTGAAGACAGCAGCGAAAGTGAACACTCACCTGTTCCCCAAAGAAAACGTAGAACCAGTGTTGGTTCTTCAAGCAGTGATGAGTATAAGCAGGAGGACAGCCAGGGATCAGGGGAAGAAGAAGACTTTATTCGGAAACAAATCATAGAAATGAGCGCTGATGAGGATGCCTCGGGTTCTGAAGACGAAGAGTTTATCAGGAACCAACTCAAAGAGATTAGTAGTATCTCGGAGAGCCAGAAGAAGGAGGACACAAAAGTGAAAGGGAAGGGAATGGCAGGGAAACACAGGAGACTAACTCGAAAAAGTAGCACAGGCTTTGACGATGATGCAGGAAGGCGTCATTCATGGCATGATGAGGATGATGAAACATTTGATGAAAGTCCTGAACTTAAATACAGGGAAACTAAAAGCCAGGAGAGTGAAGAACTTGTTGTCACTGGGGGAGGAGGGCTACGTCGGTTTAAAACGATCGAACTCAATAGCACCACGGCAGATAAATACTCTGCAGAATCATCACAGAAAAAAACCACTTTGTATTTTGATGAAGAGCCAGAACTAGAAATGGAAAGCTTGACAGACTCACCAGAGGACAGGTCAAGGGGAGAAGGATCTTCTAGTCTCCATGCTTCTAGCTTCACTCCCGGCACATCCCCTACATCTGTATCCTCACTTGATGAGGATAGTGACAGCAGCCCAAGTCACAAAAAAGGTGAGAGTAAACAGCAGCGCAAAGCTCGGCACAGGTCACACGGCCCACTTTTACCTACTATTGAAGATTCTTCAGAGGAAGAAGAATTGAGAGAGGAGGAAGAACTACTAAAAGAACAAGAAAAGCAGAGGGAACTAGAACAGCAACAAAGGAAGAGTTCCAGCAAGAAATCAAAGAAAGATAAAGATGAACTTCGAGCTCAGAGAAGGAGGGAAAGACCAAAGACACCGCCTAGTAATCTGTCTCCCATCGAAGATGCATCTCCAACAGAAGAATTACGTCAGGCAGCAGAAATGGAGGAACTCCACAGATCCTCTTGTTCAGAATACTCACCTAGCATCGAATCAGAGCCAGAAGGTTTTGAAATCAGCCCAGAAAAAATAATAGAAGTACAAAAAGTATACAAATTGCCCACAGCTGTGTCTTTATACTCCCCAACAGATGAGCAAGCTGTTATGCAGAAAGAAGGTGGTCAGAAGGCATTAAAAAGTGCTGAGGAGATGTATGAAGAAATGATGCACAAACCCCACAAATATAAAGCTTTTCCAGCTGCAAATGAACGAGATGAAGTGTTTGAAAAGGAGCCTTTGTATGGTGGTATGTTAATAGAAGATTATATTTATGAGTCTTTAGTAGAAGATACATACAATGGGTCTGTAGATGGAAGCCTGCTAACAAAGCAAGAAGAAGAAAATGGGTTTATGCAGCAGAGAGGAGGAAGAGAGCAAAAAATAAGACTTCCAGAGCAGATTTATGAAGATCCTATGCAGAAAATTACAGACCTCCAGAAAGAGTTTTATGAGTTAGAAAGCTTACATTCACTTGTACCTCAACAAGACATTGTTTCCAGCTCTTACATTATTCCAGAAAGCCATGAGATAGTGGATCTGGGTACTATGGTTCCATCTACCAGTGAAGAAAAAAAATTGTTGGATGCTGATGCTGCCTATGAAGAACTCATGAAACGACAACAGATGCAGTTAACACCTGATACCACCCCCACTCACCCCACCATTGGGGAGGACATGATAGAGTCCACTTTGGACTTTGACAGGGTTCCAGATGCATCTTTGACATCGAGTGTCCTCTCAGGAGCATCCCTTTCTGACTCAACCAGCAGTGCAACACTCTCTATTCCTGATGTTAAAATAACACAACATTTTTCCGCAGAAGAAATTGAAGACGAATATGTAACCAACTATACAAGAGAAATTCAAGAGATAATTGCCCATGAGTCACTGATTTTGACCTACTCAGAGCCTTCGGAAAGTGCTACTTCTGTTCCGCCATCTGACACACCTTCTCTCACATCATCTGTGTCTTCAATTTGCACCACAGATAGCTCTTCGCCCATTACTACCTTGGATAGCATAACCACAATTTATACAGAGCCAGTGGACATAATTACTAAGTTCAAAGATTCAGAGGAAATTTCTTCATCAACTTATTTTCCAGGCAGCATTATAGACTACCCAGAAGAAATAAGTGTGTCTTTAGACCAAACCACTATGTCAGAAAGTAGGAGTTCTGACCAAGTTGGAATTTTCCTATCTGACATAACACCTTCAGTCACATCAGTAGGAACTAAAGTGGAAGATCTAATGACTGACACTATTTCCACTGACTGTCCTGTACCTGAAAAAGAGTCTATAAAAAAAGGAAAGAAGGAAACTGGAGATGGAGTTATTCTGGAGGTTTTAGAAGCTTATGAAGATAAGATAAAGGAGAATGAGGATGAATTAGCAAATATGAGCTTATCTGAAACTAGGTTTGAGAAACCAATGTCTTCTGCAGTAGCTCCACCAATAAAAGAGCAGCTTTCAGATGCGTACTCAATATCCAGAAAGGTCTCTGGTCAGGAAAACCTTCGATCACAGTTACCATCTGGCACTCCTCGTGTTTCCTCCCGTCCAACGAAATCTCACCCATTTTTCCGAAGTACTTCTTTGGACATATCAGCCCAACCTCCCCCACCTCCTCCCCCTCCCCCCTCCCCCTCCTCCTCCCCCTCCTCCACCTCCTCCTCCCCCACCATTACCCCCTTCAACTGCACCTAAACCACCAATTCATCCTAAAAAAAAATCATCAGTTGCAGCTCCAGTGACTACAACCACTGCAGGCACACTCCTGGCTGATGCTGTTATTGCTATAGAGACCACAGCCGCTCGGAGGAGTGATGGGTTACCTGGGACAAAAATATGTACCTCCGCACCTCCTCCTGTTCCTCCTAAGCCTTCTTCAATTCCTTCTGGACTTGTATTTACACACAGACCTGAGCCTAGCAAACCTCCCATTGCTCCCAAGCCAACAGTTCCTCAACCCCCAGTAACCATACAGAAAACACCAGATGTGCACCCTAAACCAACAGGTCTATCACTAACTTCAAGTATGTCCTTAAACTTAGTGACTTCTGCAGATTATAAATTACCTTCCCCCACCTCTCCCCTTTCCCCACACTCTAACAAGTCCTCCCCTAGATATTCTAAATCTCTCATGGAAACTTACGTGGTTATTACATTACCATCTGAGCCTGGGACTCCAACAGATTCTGCAGCTAGTCAGGCAATTACCAGTTGGCCCTTAGGATCACCCCCAAAAGATCTGGTTTCCCTTGAACCAGTGTTTTCTGTAGTCCCTGCTACAACAGCTGCAGAAATGCCAAGTTCTTCACAACCGAACTTGTATATCTCAGGAGCTTTGGAGCCCTTTTCTGCTGTCCCTGTTGCAACTCCATCTTCGTTTCAAGTGGGTCCAACTTCACTTCAACAGTTTCCCACAACCAGAATCTCAAAGCCGGAAGTTTCAGCAACCAGAAGTACAGTCCCAAGTGTTGGTCCCAGCAGTATTTCTATATCAATTCCTCCAGAGCCTCTTGCACTCGATAACCTACATTTAGAAAAGCATCAGCATAAGGAAAATGGAAAGTTGCAACTTGCTAATGATGTCATTGATTTGCGAACAATACCAAAACCTGAAGTTAAAGCAACGGAGAAATGTATAGATCTTTCTGCTTCTGCAACAGATGTGAAAAGACAGACCATAGCACATGATGTTTATGGGAGACAGATTAGTGCTGTCCAGCCTTCTATTATAAATCTCAGTGCAAGTCCATCATTAGTGACTCCAGTAACCCTGGACACTCACATGACTATTGTCACTTGCACAGCGACTACAAGTTACACAACAGGTACAGAAAGCCTGGTGGGTATAGAGCATAAAATGATAACACCGCTCCAGCTTACCACAAAGCCTGCTGAGTCTCCATACAGGACACCAAGTGGCCAGGCCTTTCCCACAGTTAGGGAAGAAGCACCAATAAACTTGTCTTTAAGTACTTCAGCACATGCAGGGGCAGCAGCTGTCTCTGTGCCTCCTGTTGGTGTCACAAATGGATGGACTGATGGTACCACATCCCATGGAAACATTGATGGGGAAGTGGTAGATCTCAGTACAACGAAGTCTCATAAAACTGTTGTTACAGTGGATGAATCTACTTCAAATGTGGTAACCAAAATAATAGAAGATGATGAAAAGCCTGTTGATTTGACTGCTGGAAGAAGAGCTGTGTGCTGTGACATGGTTTATAAGTTACCTTTTGGAAGGAGCTGTACAACACAGCAGCCTGCCACTACTCTTCCCGAGGATCGCTTTGGCTATAGGGACGACCATTATCAATATGATCGATCAGGGCCATATGGTTATAGAGGGATTGGAGGAATGAAACCATCCATGTCGGATACCAATTTAGCAGAAGCTGGGCATTTTTTCTATAAAAGTAAGAATGCTTTTGATTATTCTGGAGGAACTGATGCAGCAGTAGATCTAACTTCAGGGAGAAGTACAACAGGTCAGTATCCTATGGCAACAGATCTTTCCTTGAAATATCATTATGATGTTCCTCATCTCATTTCAGGATGAAAATGCGATCCCTATGCCAATTTTATTGCTTCTCTTTCTTTTGGATGTTTTGACAAGACATTTTGGAGTACATGTGCCCTTTTGTTTCTTCATTATTTTTTTAATTTGTTCTGCCCAAGTCACCTGCATGTGCCTGCATGTTCAACATTGCTTTTCTTCTGCATCCGGTTAGGTTAACCTATGGATTTGCATGCAGTCCTATTCATTATGTTCATCAGGATGAGAGGGCTTTCAGAACCAAAAATCATCCCATTCTGAGAACTGGACTATAACTCTGCCCTGTATTTCAGGTGAGGTAATGGATTATTCAAGCAAGACTACAGGTTCATATCCAGAAACACGACAAGTCATTTCAGGAGTTGGGATTAGTACCCCTCAGTATTCCACAGCAAGAATGACTCCACCTCCAGGACCCCAATATGGTGTGGGGAATGTTTTGAGGTCATCTAATGGTGTTGTCTATTCTTCAGTAGCAACGCCAGTCCCCTCCACCTTTGCTATCACCACACAGCCTGGCTCCATCTTCAGCACCACTGTGAGGGATTTGTCTGGTGTTCATGCCGCTGATTCAGTGACTTCATTATCCACCCTGCAGCAGACACAGCCAATGCCTAGGTCATATTTCATAACAACAGGTGCATCTGAAACAGACATTACAGTGACTGGTGTTGATATCAGTGCCAGTTTGCAAACCATCACTATGGAAACTCTGACTGCTGAGACCATAGACACTGTCCCCACGTTAACCACAGCATCCGATGTGTTTCCTGAAGTGGTGGGAGACGAGAGCAGTCTTATAATTGTCCCTGAAGAAGACAAGCAGCAACAGCAACTTGACTTAGAACGGGAGCTCTTGGAATTGGAGAAAATTAAGCAGCAACGCTTTGCGGAGGAACTGGAGTGGGAACGTCAGGAAATTCAGAGGTTCCGAGAACAAGAAAAGATCATGGTTCAAAAAAAACTGGAGGAGCTGCAGTCTATGAAGCAGCACCTTCTCTACCAGCAAGAAGAAGAACGCCAGGCCCAGTTCATGATGAGGCAGGAGACACTAGCCCAGCAGCAATTACAGCTGGAGCAGATACAACAACTGCAACAGCAGCTTCACCAGCAGCTCGAGGAGCAAAAGATTCGCCAGATCTACCAGTATAACTATGACCCTTCTGGAACTGCTTCTCCACAAACCACCACAGAGCAGGCCATGTTGGAAGGCCAGTATGCTGCCCCTGAAGGAGGGCAGTTTTGGGCCACTGAAGATGCCACAACCACAGCTTCTGCTGTGGTGGCTATTGAAATACCACAGAGCCAAGGGTGGTACACAGTTCAGTCAGATGGTGTGACTCAGTACATTGCCCCACCAGGCATCCTGAGCACTGTTTCAGAAATACCTCTGGCAGATGTTGTTGTAAAAGAGGAAAAACAGTCTAAAAAGAGAACCTCTGGAGGTAAAGTTCGGGGACAGTATGATGAGGTGGGAGAATCTATGGCAGAGGATCCTAGAAATTTTAAGAAAATCATGGACAGTGGTGTACAGACAGACGATGAAGATGCTGCAGATCGGAGTTATGCAAGCAGGAGAAGAAGAACTAAAAAGAGTGTGGATACCAGTGTGCAAACTGATGATGAAGATCAGGATGAATGGGATATGCCTTCCAGATCAAGGAGAAAAGCCCGTGTTGGGAAATACGGCGACAGCACGACAGAGGCTGACAAGACCAAACACCTTTCCAAAGTCTCCAGCATAGCAGTTCAGACAGTCGCAGAGATATCTGTGCAGACTGAACCAGTGGGAACCATAAGAACACCCTCCATACGAGCACGAGTGGATGCCAAGGTAGAAATAATTAAACATATTTCAGCACCTGAAAAGACTTACAAAGGGGGCAGTTTAGGATGTCAAACAGAAGCAGATTCAGACACACAAAGCCCTCAATATCTGAGTGCCACATCTCCACCCAAAGACAAGAAACGCCCAACACCTTTAGAGATTGGGTATTCTTCCTCTCACCTTCGGGCAGATTCCACAATCCAGCTGGCTCCTTCCCCACCCAAATCTCCAAAAGTCCTTTATTCACCCATCTCACCACTTTCACCAGGCAAAGCCTTAGAATCAGCCTTTGTACCTTACGAAAAACCCCTCCCTGATGACATAAGTCCACAGAAAGTACTGCATCCAGATATGGCTAAAGTTCCCCCAGCAAGTCCTAAGGCAGCCAAGATGATGCAGCGTTCTATGTCTGACCCCAAGCCTCTGAGTCCAACAGCAGACGAAAGTTCCAGGGCTCCTTTTCAGTATACCGAGGGCTTCACGGTAAGAGTGATTCTTTTCAGTTAGAAGACAATGGATGAGTTGATGTTAATCATTTATTTGCACACTTTAGAAGGTAACTGAACTCCTAGTGTTTTAGAGGCCTAATGGTAAATTTCAGGGAGGACTGTTGTATGATAAGTTTGAAGAGGAAACAGGAAAGCCACATTCACTTAGAAACACCAAAGAAAAAAGGCTTTTATTGAGGAAATGGAGAAAGAAGTTTTATTATCTTATGACTTAATGGGATTGAAGATTATTTGCTAACATTGTTATCTTTCACATCACAGTTGCAGGCTGGGTTTTTGTGAATGCAATTTAATATTCATTTCCTAGCATGATGGAATAAGCATTGAATATAAACAGATAAGACAAAGGATAATCCTCAATACAGATCAAGGACACAGGAATTCATTAAAAGGATGGTTGGTTAGGATTATTTACCTTCTTCCAGACAGCAAGTTTGCATTAAATAGGTAAGAATGCAGAGCTGGGCACACATTTCTCAAAGCCAGCTGCTTCAGAGGCAGAAGTAGAAGGAACCTCTCTTCAAAACCAATGAGGACAAAGTTAATAGGAGATCCTATCTGAAAAACAAAGTAAAAAAGCAAAGGACTAGGGATGGCCCAGTAGTGTTATGATGGCTTAGCAAGTATGACACCCTTCATAATGCAAAATTAATAATAATAATAGTCATAATAATCATAATAATAAACTTAAAAGCTTAGGACACTTACTGATGAACATGTAATACAGTCATTATGGTTTGCACATGTTTATTCTGTGTCTGGCATCTTCCTTAAATCCAGGTGATCCTTAATTTAATTCCAGTATTAGAGAAGCAAAAGTAATTTGTATGTTTGTTTCTATAATAGAGATTACAATGCCTAACAAGGGAACAACAAAAGTATATTAGAAATATTTGGTGAATATCTCCATAGGAAGTATTAATAATTTTCTTTAAAAGTAAGCATATTATGATTGAGAAAATCTAATTGTTTAGAAAATGGTTAATAAATATAATAATTCAATGTAGAAGTCTGTTTACTTTAAAGATTCCTTAATGCACAAGTTTTTGAATTCTAGGTCTTCACCCCTAAGTCTTCTATTGTTATTTTTTCTGAGATATTGCTGTATCTTTCAGAGCTTTTTTGTTAAACATTGGGTCAAACTGGAAATTATATCATTATATAAAGCTAAATTTTTAATAGGTATATCAGTTTTAATAGTCATATTCATAATTTTCCTTTCTGTTTTTTTTCCAGTCCTGGATTTGAACTCAGGGCCTGTCCCTGAGCTTCTTTTGCTAAAAGCTAGCATTCTACCTCTTGATCTACAGCACCATTTTTTGCTTTTTCTGTTTATGTGGTACGAAGGAATCAAATCCAGGGTTTCATATCGGCACTCTACCAATAAGACACATTACCAGCCCCTCCTTTCTAGTTTTATAGTGTTCCCCCCACCCTGCCCCTGTGTCCGTGAAGTATCTCTAGCATCAGATCTATAACTATTTTATAAAGATGGCATAAAATCTGTCTCTCCTATACCACAAGTCTATTGTCACGTCTAGGAAAAGTTAATGTAGCATGTTCTCAGAATGTCAAGTGAGAAAGTGACATCCATTGGAAGAGATAGCAGTGTGAATTCAAACAAGTTTGTTTAGAGCTACAAGGCACCAATTCATTTCAAGGCATCTCTCTTAAAATATAACAACATTTTGGTGATTTTTTTAAATCAAAAAGATGATAGTTGCACCTCATATAATAAAAATATTACTTTTCCCTATTAAAAAGATTACTTTAAAAACGTTACCCACCCCATCCAGATGGCCATAAACTACACAGTCTATTAAGTGTTGTACTCTTAGACTTACTTAAAACTGTATTGTAAGAGACACTTTTATTGAATTTTTTAGTGTTCTAGAGTGTAAGCCAGGCTCCTGTTGAAAAGCAGATGGTATTCATGATTGTTACAAGAATATGTTTTGCTTCACTGATTGCTGTTTTGATAGCTATTTTAAGAATTTTTGGAACCCTTGAATGTTTTTTTTCTGAGAGCAATTTCCATAGCCTAAATTGAGAAATTCTATTTCTGTTAAAATTTTATTTTTATCTTCTACTAAAGTATAGAGATTTAAAAAAACAATGGCTATGGTGACCAACGGGACTTGAAAAATAGTAGCAATTATTTTTCATTACTCTTTTTCAAAAGCAACATACAAAATCTATTTATTAAAAACTTACTGAGAAAATCAGTTTTTAATAGTGTTACTTAAATGTTAGTATTTCCATATTTTCTTTTAATGTTCTTTATAATTAAAACCTTGTACCTTAAAATACAACTGTTTTAAAACTCAAAGAAATACATTAGAATGTTTCAAAATAAATATGCTCCAAAATAAATAGCAGTAAAATATTATGTAGCCGGTAATAGTAAAGAGCACATATTAATATCAATTGAGAAAAATGAATGCACATACACAAATTTCACTAAGTATTTATATTGGTCTTAGTTTAGTAATTATTATCTATTATTTTATTAGGGTCAACATTTAAGGATTAACTTAGAAAAAAAACCTTTGCATAGTAAAGAAAACACTACATTGTTTTCCTTTCCAACGACTTAGATCTTTCAAAATATAAGAAATAACATTTTAAGGAACATATTTATATTCCTGTTGACAAGATGTTTGATAGTGAAATACTTTAGCCAAAATGTAACAGTGAATATTCTGACATACAGACTTGCTAACACTCTGATTTCACTAATTGTCTACTACTGACAGAATTTAACAACAGAGAGATCATCATTTGACATTAGTTAGCTACCTAAGTATTTTAAACAATTCATTTTACATTCTATTTTAAACAGTTGTGAAGTTTACACACATACATACACATACTTCTGTTTTATCTGTTTATGCTTCTACAAGTTACTTAATATTCAGGACTTGCTAATTTACTGTTTGCTGTCACTTATAAAAATGAACAAGTAACTACAAATGATTACAACATAAAAATTTGGAAAACTTTTGGGTATATGTTGAGATATACCTTATATAATACCATCACAACATGTTCTTCTTGTTTTTTGATATGTTCTTATAATTATGTTCATCATAATATACATTTTTATTAGGCATATGTTGGTGTAAACAGGAATTCATATGTGTATACTGGTATATAAATACTTAAAACTTGTAGTCATATAATTAAAAAATGTTTCACATGCAGTTGCCTGATTGAAATACAAATTGTTTTTATATTCTTTGTTTATTTTATTTCATATTTTAAAGATAAAGAGTTCTAAGATTATCTTTGCATCCCTATATCAACCCAACACAATTCTGTATGCATCAAAGTGGGCCTTAGTATTAACAGGCTTTTCTTTTTAATACTCAGTGTTCTCTTGGGTTATGAGTAGAGTTTGAATTAAGAAGACACTAGTATAATTGTGGTAAGGTAAATTGAGTCCTAAATGAACTAACTAAATAAACTGTTGTACGTTAGCCTAAACTATAAATAGTAGAGGGGAATTTTATTTTAACTTTAAGAACAACTTGTATGGATTTCAAATTAAAACAGTTGAAAAAATAACAATAATCAATGAAAATAAATAAGAAATTTTTAGCAAGACACTACTAGCTCACATTTGTAATCCCAAATACTCAAGAGGCTAAGATTTGGAGGTTTGAAAACAGCACTGGTAGGAAAGTTCTGTACAATGCCAGCTAAGCAAGCAAACTAGCCAAGCACAATGCCCTGCATTTAAACTCTAGTCCCACCAAAAAAGTAAAAACAAAAGTGAAATTATCAAGAAGTGTTATTGCAGTATTCTTTTACCTGGCTGAAAAAAAAGATGCTACATCTAATAATATAAGACAGCAAAATAAAGCTTAGCATTGGGAAAGAAATAATTCTTTCGCATGAATCCAAGTTCAGTTAAATTGGAAGACTTGAAGTTGATTACTCCTGTCATTCTTTCTCTCCTTTCTGCCCAATTAAATAAGTAAAGTCTATAAAAATACATGATTTGTTCTGCCTCTCTGAAAAACCATTTTAGTGACAAAAATAAACCACTCTAAATAGGTTGGACCAACCTTTAATTTCTTATCCATTAGATAGTATATTTTACTATGACAGGATACAGAAAGCCCTCATTTTTTTCCTAACCAAAAAAATAATAAAAATAAAAACTAATCACAGAACTCAATATCTAGATAGAGAAAGTATTTGTATAGTTAGTTATTTACTTCTTTGAAACTTGAGCTACAGCCACTACTTAAAGAACAAATTATAGACTAGGAATATATCTCCATGGCACAGTAATAGCATTGCATATTCTAGAACCTGGTTAAAACTCCAGTGCTAAGAACAAGAGAAAGACCATATGCCAGGTGTTTTGATTCAAACCTTTAATCTGAGCTATAAAAGAGGGTGATGTAGTAGGATCAAGGACCAAGCCATTTCTGAACAAATTTGTGAGACCTTAATCTGAAAAATAACTACTTAAAAAAAATATATATATATGGTAGAGCTGCTGCCAAACGGGCACAGGGTCCCGAGTTTCAAACCTTAGTACCACCAAAAGAATGAATCATCCATTTAGAAAACCTTTTAATCATTAATTTGTACCTCAGTTCTCATGCATCAGATTTGTAGAACTATGCACTGAAAGGAAATATTACTCTAAAATGGTAGAAAAATATTCTCAGAGTTTTTAATACATTTTTATTGTAAAAATACTGCACAGAGGGGTTACAGTTAAATGAGCAAGGTAATGAGTACATTTCCTATCAAGCATTGTTACCTCCTCCTTTGTTTTTCCCCCACCTTCCCTTCCCTCTCATCTCCACAATTCCTTGCCTCCTCTCCACCTAAATTGTAAATTTCATTTTTCAACATAGTGTCTTGCACATCTCATTGTTACAATGTGTCAACTTTTATCTCTATTTAAGCATTTTGTTTTGTTTTTTTCCCTTCCCCTCCCAAAGCTAGAGTAGT